GGTTAGGTGGAGAGGGAGGGGAGGGGGTGTGGTTTGGTGGAGAGGGGAGGGGAGGGGGAGTGGTTTGATGGAGAGGGAGGGGGGAGTGGTTTGGTGGAGAGGTGAGGGGAGGGGGGAGTGGTTTGGTGGAGAGGGAGGGGAGGGGGAGTGGTTTGGTGGAGAGGGAGAAGAGGGGGGAGTGGTTTGGTGGAGAGGGGAGGGGGAGTGGTTTGGTGGAGAGGGAGGGGGAGTGGTTTGGTGGAGAGGTGAGGGGAGGGGGGAGTGGTTTGGTGGAGAGGGAGGGGAGGGGGGAGTGGTTAGGTGGAGAGGTGAGGGGAGGGGGAGTGGTTTAGAGGAGAGGGAGGGGAGGGGGAGTGGTTTAGAGGAGAGGGAGGGGGGAGTGGTTTGGTGGAGAGGGAGGGGAGGGGGAGTGGTTTGGTGGAGAGGGAGGGGAGGGGGGAGTGGTTTTAGAGGAGAGGGAGGGGGAGTGGTTTGGTGGAGAGGGAGGGGAGGGGGGAGTGGTTTAGAGGAGAGGGAGGGGAGGGGAGGGGAGGGGGGAGTGGTTTAGGTGGAGAGGGAGGGGAGGGGGGAGTGGTTAGGTGGAGAGGTGAGGGGAGGGGGAGTGGTTTAGAGGAGAGGGAGGGGGGAGTGGTTTGGTGGAGAGGGAGGGGGGAGTGGTTTGGTGGAGAGGGAGGGGAGGGGGAGTGGTTTGGTGGAGAGGGAGGGGGGAGTGGTTTGGTGGAGAGGTGAGGGGAGGGGGGAGTGGTTTGGTGGAGAGGTGAGTGGTTTGGTGGAGAGGGAGGGGGAGTGGTTTAGAGGAGAGGGAGGGGAGGGGGAGTGGTTTGGTGGAGAGGGAGGGGAGGGGGGAGTGGTTTGGTGGAGAGGGAGGGGAGGAGGGAGTGGTTTGGTGGAGAGGGAGAAGAGGGGGGAGTGGTTTGGTGGAGAGGGAGAAGAGGGGGGAGTGGTTTGGTGGAGAGGCGAGGGGAGGGGTTTGGTGGAGAGGGAGGGGAGGGGGGAGTGGTTTGGTGGAGAGGCGAGGGGAGGGGTTTGGTGGAGAGGGAGGGGGGAGAGGGGGGAGTGGTTTGGTGGAGAGGCGAGGGGAAGGGAGGGGTGAGTGGTTTCCAGTTGGTTCTACGGCTAAGCTAACAAAATCGCTTACTGCACCTTTAAGATAAGATAAGATAAGGAAACTGGAGCACCTGGAGGAAACCTTTATTTACCAGTGCTTTTGCCTACATACTAAACATGTGATAAATGAATTGACTTAAACAAACATTCAGTATTTCCCCAGTGTGGGACAGATAAAGAACAATGTGATCTCATTTCTAAAAACAGACATATAATTATACATATGTTTTCCCCCCGATGCCCTAGACGTGGTAAGAAAGTAAGGAATATTTATTTATATAGTGCCTTTCACAGAGTCACAAAGCACTTCACATTTGGCATTTTTCTCTCAGTCCACACAGAGATGGGAGCGAGGTCACCAACAGGAGGCGGTAGGGGAAACCGGAGCACCTGGAGGAAACCTACGCAGACACGGAAGAACATGCAGACTCCACTCAGCCACCGTGGTCATGTTTTCTACCAAACTCTATATTCTGACTTTCAGTTTTATCAAAGGCGGTAAATTCACTTCCTCTTTCTCTTGTGCCATCTTTACAGTGAAACAGCATCAAATCCTTCCTCTCCAGGCCTAAATATTTACAAAGAACTGCTTCCTGTGTAAAATAATAGTAATAAATATTCAAACAACCTCTTTTGCTTCAAATCTATTCTGGACTAGCTCATGCTGTTTTGGGCAAATCTGTAAAAACCATGTTCACTGGCCTTTTCTTATTGAAAGACTAATTGGTCATAAAAATCATCTTTAATCACAGTCCAACAGAAGACGAGATCAACTTTTTTGATCTCGCACTGGCAAAATTTACTTGTCCCATTTGGCACAGATAGCATCACTAAAGACAGAAGTGTGAAACATGTTAGAGGCAAAATAGTCTGTGCATGATATCAGTATTAACGGCTTATTAACCGAGCGCGAGGTCTGTATGGAGAAATATCAGACTTAATGTACAGACCGAGCCGTGGCAAGGTCTGATATTTCTCTGCACAGACCGAGCAAGCGAGGTTAATAAATGTTTTATTATATGACTCTCGTCTGTGTCTTTACCAAAGCTTTTGAGATATTTGTGAAGTATGTTCATGTCCGACTTGGTTTTGTGTGATACGGGCTGCTGACAGATTGTCATGGTAACGGTCTGAGATGGGAAAATATCAGACCGGTAAATCAGCCAATCAGAGCACGCGTACGGTCCAAGTCATATAATAAAATGATGTACAATGAAATAAAAGGTGGCAATTAAAGAGACAGTGGCAATATCAGCGCGGGTTTTTAGTCCTAGTGCGTTAGTGACATAACGTGGATGCTCCATCGAAGTAGCCTGGTCTTACCACACCATAGTACAGATTATATTTCAAACTAAACTCTGGATTTGCTCCATTGACTCCGTGAACAGGTGGGAGGGGTTAACTCATTTTGTAGATTGAAACCATTGGATCTGAGTTTATCGTGACGTTTGTAAGTTGTTAGCATTTAGCCTAGCTTTAGCCATCTCCTTTGCCGCTAACGGAACCCGTGGGGAGAAGCGCCACAATTTTTGCCAGCGATTACATTTTCTAAACATTCCTCCTGCTCCGGCTTCAGTTTCTTGATAGAACCAGAACAGAATACTTTACTATCACATTCATCGCCAAACTACAACCTGCCCATTCGACACAAACTCTTGACGTCACCCACTGTGCTGGCGAACTGCGTTGTAGTCCCGCTCCCCCTCCTTACCGGAGGAAAATGGTGGGTGGATCGGCTCACCTGCGTGATCTGCATCCACCCGGGGTGGTTAAAAGGGACGGACACGGACACTTCTGTGTGTGAGTTCGAGTGGGACAAGCAATCTCAGCGCCCAAGCAGCGCAAAAAGACAACAATAAAGACAAAAACTGTGCAAGAGTAACCCTCTCACAACCCCATGAGAGACAGCCGGTAAGCGCCGTTCCCCATTTGCGATCGCTTGAACTTACGCGGCGACGCGTTCAAGAGCCCTTGGGAGGAGAGGTTACTTTGTTTGATTGTTGTTTATAAATTGTACTGTTGTTAGACAAAACAAAACCTAACTCCAGGAAGGAATGCGGGTTAACTAGTCTGTGTTCGTTAATATTATGTTCACTACTAATTAACAAAATTCGCCTTATATTTCGCGTTATGTTAAAATTATGAAAAGTTTAAGTTAAAAAACCAGAATGTTTCAGGTAAACGGATCATGTTTAAAAGAAACGCAGTTTGCAATCATGTAGAATCAATTACTTAGTGATAAACTGTTAAAATCAAGTACTTAGTGTTAAAACGTTGAAATATATTACTTTAAAAATTTGCTAAAACCAGAACTGTTGATCCTTTGATAAAAAGCTAAGATAATGTATTAAGTTTCAAATGTGGTTAAAAACTTTTGTAAAAATAAATAAGGGAATAGACTTTACTTTTGTGAAAATAGACTTTTTTAGTTTGTAACTCATTTGGTTAATTGGCATGTGTTAAGTAAGTAGTAAGTAAGTAAGTTTTTATTTATATACCGCCTTTTCACTGCAGATTTGAGTCTCAAAGTGGTTCACAATTGTTAATTTTGGGCATTTGTCTCTCACTCCACACAGAGGAGCAGGGTCAGTACAGGAGGCGCATGCCAGAACTATTGGACATATTTTTAGTGGTAGGGGAAACCGGAGTACCCGGAGGAAACCTACGCAGACACGGGGAGAACATGCAAACTCCACTCAGAAAGGCCCTGGTCCGACCGGGATTCGAACCCAGGACCTTCTTGCTGAGAGGCGAGAGTGCTATCCACTCAGCCACCGTGCCGCCCAATACTACAATACAACTATAAAAATGTATAAGAATGTTTAAAAAAGGTCTTAAACACACAGTTTACTGGTATTTGCTTAAAACCAGGTTAAAATATAGATTAATTCATTTGGGGGTAAATATTATTTAAAATAAGATACTATTTTGTTTACTAGCAGGAACATTATTTGTTGAAAGTGCAATTAGAAGACGGTTTATTTGCATAGGAAAATGACTGTATGTTTCTGTTCTCTTTTTGAGGTTTTTCACCTGAACCTAAAGCTGAAACCAAGCCAAATAAATGGCATGAATCAAGAACCATGGCTGATCATTGAGTGAAATCCAGTTCAAACTCATATGTGGAGGGTTTATCCCTTTCAAGTGGGGAATTTGCACAAACATATCACCAAATAACTTGACACCCACAACTAACTAAAACACCCGCCTCCCGCGCTCTCTGATTGGTCGGATGGAATTCAACCGATTGTAATCACAAACACAGGGACCAGACCCAGACGTTACATGCAGGACATGATAATTGAGCGGAGAGTACGGATGGATAAAACCAGGCTAACATTAAAGTGGTCATTTTATAATTTGAAAACTCCTCTAAATTCTCCCACTCTTCCTACTTCAGCATTCCTAGCCCGAACGCTTGCTTTGGTGCTAATATTTGAAAGGATATAACCCACTAATTTAAAGCAAGACAAGCTACACTCTCTTGAAAGCATTAGAGGATTAATTATGTAATTATCTTCAAGCACACTGGAATCTGGAGGCCTAATTACAATGGCCCTTCATTTTTCCTCTGCAGCCACATCCATCTTTCATAGGCGACTTGTTTTCCCAAAGTTCAGATGATCTATCGCTGTTGTTTCATACTTTCGGATTACAAAAGTGACCGTGCACGACCCAATGGAAAAGGGAACGATCAGTATTTGTGTTTTAATTCCTCCGTTTTTTGGGGGTTTCATTTAGTTTCCATAATGACCCCTAGCATTCTTTCATAATAAGCATGATCCAGTTTAGTTTCCATCTTTGTAGTCTCCTGCGGGTCCTTCTGAGGCGGGCTCGGGTCACCTCAGCGGAGAAAAATCAATGTCTAGTGAATACTTTGTGAGAAATCCAAGCTACCTGTTCATTAAGTCGGATTCTCTTTCATCCAGGAGCTTCAGGACTGCTTCTTTTGACAGCACGCTCCCTGTGGCTGTCTCCTCCTGCTGTCCTGAAGCTTTGACTGAATACTTTTCTAAGAACCCAGGCTGCCTCACACAGAGACGGGGAAAGGATAAAGCCGTTTGAACAGTGAAAATGACCTTAACTTTGTATTCTGTAAACAAATAATCATGTTTATGACCATGGATCTATTATAAATACTGGATCTATTATAATAACTGGATCTGTTATAATAACTGGATCTGGTATAATAACTGGATAGGGTATTACTAGCTTGGAGCTGACGGACTCATGTGCTCGGGGGATTCTCGCGGTACTGCAGACTAGACCAGACTAAATTCACGTGAGAACCCAGAAATTATCCCCATAGAACTCAATGTAAACTAAAACAGCTCGACCTCAGCTGACAGAACCTGACAGAGAACCTACAGCTTTCATAAAGGTCAGATTTTGTGGGGATTTTAGTGTCCCTTGTTGTCCTGAACTTTTTTTCTTCTTAAATCTTTCGGTTTTCTTTAAATCCACACTTTAGTGCCACAAACTCTGCTCCTCTGGCTCTCGCTCTAACTCCCGCTCTGATGAACTGCTCTGATTGGTCAGAGCGCGGCCGAGCCCCTCTGTGCACGTGCATGACAGCCACACACGTGTATTTGGCCCAATGCATCATGGGAGCTCGTCCACTGTGCAGTACCGGGAGGACCAGACGATGCCCAAATACAGTTTCCATGGATCTTTGGGAGTTCCACTAATATGTCAGTGACCGCGCCGGCACAACGCACCACTGAGCACAAACCATTCATTTGAAAACGACGCCATCTTGGATTGCCGGGGCTTGAAAAGGACGTGTTCAAAAAAGAATGACTTATGTTTTCATCTTCTTTTCTCTGTTTTGTTTAGAGGTATTTATATTTTTGACTGAACTCATTTCAAAGCGTTGTATTTGCACAAAACTGAAAACAACACATGGGATTTACGAGAGAGAGAAGAGCCAGAGTTGGTTTGTTTTTACACAGGACTGGACTCTTCTGACAATAAAACACATTGGAGATTTTACATGTTTTATCTTTAGAACAAATAGATGTTTAATTAATTTTCACTTGTTTGAAAATTGAGCCAATTAAAGTTGAAGCACTTTTTGAAGTTACTGGAACTGGGAAAATACAAGAAAATACAGACAAAGATAGAATGATAATTGGAACAGTGATGGAAAAGGGGAAGTTAGAGAATGGTACAACGTTGACACACACATACTGTACACACACACACACACACTGTACACATACATACACGCACACACATACACACACACACACACACACATATACACACACACACACACACACACACACACACACACACACACACATACACACACACACACACACACACACACACACACACACACATTTACACGTTTTTGTTACCTGGTGGGTCCCTTTGACAGGGCCGTTCAGAATGGGACCCATAGACATAATCTTTTTTTACTGGGACTACTTTAAGTAATACAAAACAGTCAATAGAAAACAAAAAACTCTTTTAAAGGAATTTTATTTTAGATTTTTTTTTCGAATTGCAGTGATTCTATTTTTGACATAGAATTTAATGCCACTCCATGTCCGATGTCTAAGGTCATCTGGTGAGGCATTAATGCAGGCCAGGCCAGGCCAGGCCAGGCAGTGAGACTTCCCAGGGACCTTTCCAGTCTGTATGAAAGGTGTCATGGTCTTCTCCACAGCCTTCACCTCAGATGCAGACCATGGCTTTCTTACACGTTCTAGGGAGAGAAATAAAAATATATTAGCAATATACACTCCCAGGGTGAGGACCAAGCAGCCTGGCTGTAATCCCCCACCTGGTACACTTACCAGAAGGGGCACTGCCACTACCATGGGGTGCATCTGGATGAATGGTTGAAGGTTCTCCGCTTGAAGTTTCTTTTAGCCCGTCCGTTTGTGAGAGGATCTCTACTGCTCTCCCTGTCGCACAGACAAATAAAAATACAAGTGGCCTTTAGGGGAAAAAAATCATACATATTTTAATAATATCAAGAATTACCTTCAGGCTCAATTTGTATCTGGTCGAGGCTCTTTCCTTTGAATTCCGTCACTCTTCCCTGCTCCATGGCCATCAACACTTTGCTGATTTTGGCCAGCTCCAGTGTCCCCTCTGGTAGTCTGTAATATTGCCTGTGGATGCGAATGTCATGGCCGAGGAAGTTGGCTAGTATGTCCATCTCATTCTCTTTCATATTGAGAACTGTAGACATAGTAGCTATGCGCTTTCTAAGTTTGGTTGAGGATAGCATCTCTGGATGCACCGCACCACATTCTTTGGCTACCTGGCGTAGGGAGTCTGATCCCCTGATGTGGGTGTCTGCGCCCGGGCGGGAGAAGAAGTATGGGTTATGGTCAGAGATGGAACAGGCCCTTCTGTTCTCCACCAGCACCTCCATCCAAGCAATCATTTCAGGAGTCAAAAGAACCGACACTTTCCGACTTCTTTTCCCTTTAATTTCAATGCGTTGAAAATGCTAACACAGCTTTTTCTCAAGTTGGGACAGTCCCAGAGCAATGTCAGAATGGATCCCAGTCTTACTTCTTAAGGTAAAGGCTGTCAGTGGCATCTTTGAAACCTCACCTTCCCTTCTTCGATTGAAAATAATGACCTCACAAAGAGTCAAAACTGCCAGTTTAGACCAATGCTTAGAGGTTGGCTCACTTATTAGGGTTTGCACATATTCAGGTCGACATACCTCAATATGTGCATGCATGGCTCTAACGTCCTCAGTCAGAGGGAGCAGGTCCGGAGTGTTCCACTTGGCTTGCCGGAGGGTCTGTAGGGCAGCAGAAGAAACACAGACGTCCCACCTCTTCTCAAAAAGCAGCCGGCTTTGTTGGAGGTTTTTAATAAATAGTTCATCAACACAATGCTCCATTTTTGAGTCACATTCAAGAATATCTGCTAGCTTTCTGAGGCTATGGCCGAGTTTGAGGGCCAAGGATGGAGTCTTGTATTGATTTGTTTCCTCATCATATCCAGCCACAGACCTGACTGCATCAATCACATGGTTAAAGTTGGAAGGAATAAAGAAATCCTTAATTGTTTTCAGTTTCCCTGCGGTTTTTGCTTCGTTAATTAACCTACCGACTTCTCTCATTTTCTGCCTAATGTAATCATGCTTAGTCTTATCATGCCCGTGTTTTAAGTACAGGTGCTCTCCGAGTCTCAGAATCCCCTTTTCTGCTTTGACAACACCCGTGACCTCATCCTGATGCATTGCCGAAATTAAAGACCACAGCTTTTTGCTGATGCCCTCCGGTACAGGCTGGGCTAGGGAGCAGAGGGACTGGACCCTACTTCTACCTGGTTTAGCCTGGTTTAGCCTGGGCATCCTTCTGTGAAAGCCAGCACCTGGCCACATGCCTCCACAGCCACTTTCGCTTAAGCAATGCCCCACAGTCTATACAGTGCAAAAACTCACTGGATTTAACTGGGGAATTTGGCTGTTTAGCTGGGACTAAAGTTCCAATGCCGGCCTTTAAAACCTCAAAATTGTGCTCACGGTTTCCACTATTCCTGATCAAATCAAACTGAAGTTTACGTGCTTTAGATTTCACAGGTAGAGCCAATGCTCTGGCTACGTCACTTTCATTTCCATGTTTTCTAGTCAAATGACGGGACATTTTGTGGCAGGACATTGAACAGTAGAGGCAGAAGTGTCTCTTGCTGTAAACTCGCCCCCCATTTTTCTTCTTTTGCAGCTGCATGATAACAATCTTATTTGCCTTTGGTTCGTCACTTTCCGAGTCTTGAAGAAAAGTGTTTTTGATTTTTCTTTTTCCATACTTTTTTACAGGTTTCTTCTTGACAGTTAAATCCTCAGAATCTGAGTCGACTTCATCAATTAGGGACTCTTGACTAAGCTGCACAAACAACAAATAATTTGTAATAATTCTATATAACAATTTGAAGTCATGACTTGTAGTCAGCACTTACCAGTGGTTTGTAAGCGTGCGCTTCAGTGTGCTGCTCTGTGATTGGCTGCAGCCTAATGAACCACTCACTTGCACCTTTTCTAGCCTGACACCTGATTTCCTCTGTTGTGCTGCTCCATGATTGGCTCCAGCCGGCTGGACTGAAATTGCCCCAGTGTGCCCCTCCTTGATATCCCGCAACCCACCACCAGGGTTCCGACACATAACACACTTTTTTCAGGAAAGTAAACCTCCAGGGGTCCTTTCCATATTTTTACAGAGACTGCATAAGGACCGTTAGAAAAGCATTACCCATTGATTATTAAGCTTGGACCAGTGGGGTCCGGTGTTCGGGCCCCACCACGTAAAACCAGTCCCCATGACGTGAGTGGAATCTCAGGTTATGGAACCCACCAGGAGTTGAAAACAAATGCAGGTGTAGACATATTGTAAAAACAATAATGACCCACATCAGATGGAAGTATTTTATCTCAGTTGTATCATTTTGATCTTCTCTTATTCAGTAAAAACCCAGGTTTGGAGTTCTTCCCTAAAACACTGCAGTTGAGTTGTAACCTGGATAAGATTTGACAGCTTTAAGTGAAAAGAGTTTTGTTCTTTCCGCAGTGAAGTGGGAGACAGGCATCCAACCATGTCTCGGGGAGTTTTCACATATCCGGCTCTGAAATCATTTCTGAGACAGTTTGGAGAAAAGGAGATTTAAAAAACTGGTTCTGTGTTTGGGAAAATTATTGTAAATGACTGTGGCCTGATACACCTTTCAATAAAGCTGCAAAATGTAAGATTTTCATGTCAAGACATCATTAAAAGGGCCCTAATCTGTCATCATTAAAGGGCCCTAATCTGTCATAATAATAAACTGCTCTTTTCCAATACTTCTTTAACTGATAACAGTAGTTCAGAGATATTTGAATTTCTAAATTACTTTTCCAGCCTCTAAATCTTGTTATTGTTTTCATTTCGATGTCCCGCCCTCCACCGTTTCACCAATCAGAAAGTCTGTGATCCGGGCGCCAGAACTCACCGCGTGGAGCTAATCTCACTGGTAAAGTACCATGTGGCGCAGAACTGAAAAAGGTCTCGTTATGATTCTCAAATCATTAACGACAAAACAAGGAATAAAACCAGGATTTCTATCTTTGTGAAAAAGGTGTTGGTTATAGATTTGTTGTTGACAAAACTCTTGTCTATTCAGCTGTTATGGTCCCAGCTGGATTCGTCTGCATATCTGGCAACCTGAGTCAGGGAGAGAGGGAGAGGCTGCTGTACCACTTTAGACCACATGTTTACAGACTGCTCCTTTAACTTTGGTATAAAGACATTCAAGTTTGTTTTAAGTTTTTTTTAACCTATTTTATGGATTTTAGCAGCAGTTTGTAATGTATCAGTATTTGACTTTGAAGAGAGGTGTTATTTCTCCATCAATAATACAAATTTTACTGGATATTTACAATTCCTTATCTAAACATGGAAAATTTGAGAAGTTTTGCCTTAATTTTAGATCTTTTCTCTCTTTTTCATCTCAACTGGAGCAGGACTGACTGACTCTGCAGTGATCAAAACATGCTGTTCATGAATACACATTCAAATACATATGAATATAAATGATAAATTAACCTTTTCTTAAACGGTGAGTCCCTGATCGGTGGCTGGAGATTGGTATTCCGCTCCGTGTCGCACTTGTCTCCGCTCTGCCAAGGTCACTCCCATCCACCTTCTGACAACGGCAGCATTCTGACCTTTAAGCTGCGTTTAGCTCCACATCAGTGCTTCCCTTTTACATTAAGCCTTGAGTGACAGACAGAATATCAAACATTAATGAGGAGGGTCCAGAGTGGGTCCGTGGCACAGGTCTGAGGACGGTCAATGAGAGACGATAATGTTAATGCCTCACATGTTCCATTTCCATCAGGTTTGTGAGTCGCTGTAACGTACTGTAGGTCTCCCATCCTCACATGAATCTGCTGTTTGCAATTATATACAACTGTTTGATGTAATTCCATTTACCTGTGACTGAAAGCAGCTGCGGTTAAAACTATAAAAACGTGAGTAGTTTTCAATGTTACTTGGGGTCAACGTAACTTCTATTCTGAGTTGTAACCTTCTTCAAGCTTAAGAACAGAACTCCGTATTGAGTGTGTTTACAAAGCATAAGGTTATGGAGTGCATTCAAAAACTGTTATCAAACGGGTCTGAGGAGTTTTCAGACCCTGCGGAGAGTTCCAGAACCAAGCCCCCGGCGATCCAAGATGGCGTCCTGTTCAAATCAGTGGCTGGTGCTCTGTAGAAGCATGTGCCACCACGGGGACCGAGAGATTAGCAGAACACGCCCATATTTGGTCATCGTCTGGTTGTCCCGGTTCTGTGCAGTGGATGAGCTCCCAATGATGCTTTGTGCCCATTGCACGTGCACAAAGGGGCTCGGGTGCGCTTCAACCAATCAGAGGGAAGCGCAATTAGAGCGGGAGTTTTTTGCATTAAAGTGTAAAATTATAGAAAACCTATAATTCTAACAAGATTTGACAAGAAAAAACGTTCAGGACGACAAGGGACAAAAAAAACCTCACAAAATCTGACCTTTATGACAGCTGAAGGTTCGCTGTCAGGTTCGCTGTCAGGTTCTCTGTCAGGTTCTCTGTCAGGTTCTCTGTCAGGTTCTCTGTCAGGTTCTCTGTCAGGTTCGCTGTCAGGTTCGCTGTCAGGTTCGCTGTCAGGTTCGCTGTCAGGTTTTCGCTGTCAGGTTCGCTGTCAGGTTCGCTGTCAGGTTCGCTGTCAGGTTCGCTGTCAGGTTCGCTGTCAGGTTCGCTGTCAGGTTCGCTGTCAGGTTCGCTGTCAGGTTTGCTGTCAGGTTCGCTGTCAGGTTCTCTGTCAGGTTCGCTGTCAGGTTCGCTGTCAGGTTCGCTGTCAGGTTCTCTGTCAGGTTCTCTGTCAGGTTCGCTGTCAGGTTCGCTGTCAGGTTCGCTGTCAGGTTCGCTGTCAGGTTCGCTGTCAGGTTCGCTGTCAGGTTCGCTGTCAGGTTCGCTGTCAGGTTCGCTGTCAGGTTCTCTGTCAGGTTCTCTGTCAGGTTCTCTGTCAGGTTCTCTGTCAGGTTCGCTGTCAGGTTCTCTGTCAGGTTCTCTGTCAGGTTCGCTGTCAGGTTCTCTGTCAGGTTCTCTGTCAGGTTCGCTGTCAGGTTCTCTGTCAGGTTCGCTGTCAGGTTCTCTGTCAGGTTCGCTGTCAGGTTCTCTGTCAGGTTCTCTGTCAGGTTCGCTGTCAGGTTCTCTGTCAGGTTCTCTGTCAGGTTCGCTGTCAGGTTCTCTGTCAGGTTCGCTGTCAGGTTCGCCGTCAGGTTCTCTGTCAGGTTCGCTGTCAGGTTCGCTGTCAGGTTCGCTGTCAGGTTCTCTGTCAGGTTCTCTGTCAGGTTCTCTGTCAGGTTCTCTGTCAGGTTCTCTGTCAGGTTCTCTGTCAGGTTCTCTGTCAGGTTCTCTGTCAGGTTCGCTGTCAGGTTCCCTGTCAGGTTCTCTGTCAGATGAGGTCAAGCTGTTTTAGTTTCCATTGAGTTCTATGGGGAAATGTCTAGGTAACGTGAAGTTAGTCTGGTTTACTCTGCAGTACCATGAGAATCCCCCGCGCACATGGTCCTTCAGCTCTAAGTTAGTAACACACTCTCCAGATATTATAATTCAATAGATCCATGTCCAGAACTGCGGACGCTTCGCCGACGTGTAGTCACTTCTGTTTTGTGTTATCTACCCAGGTCTACCTTTGTATCTGTGTTTGTCCGTTTGTTTAAATGTATGGATTGGATTATTACAGATTATCCCCAATTTTGGACTGGGATGATTCATTTGCATTTCCAAACTCGATCAGGAACACACTTTCAGAGATAGACTGAATGTTACCGTGATATAAATATGAACAGTTGCAGTTTTGATTACCGCTCTGAATGAGGCCTAATTAAAAAGCTTGAAAGTGTCTGCACCTGATACAAACCCTCATTAGCTGAAGAACGCAGGTCGCTAATAACAGCCACTGCAGATGTAAACAAAGCAATCAGCAGAACAGGGCTTTCTTTGAGGAAATCTGTTTGAAGAATAAACAAGAACTCTAGAAAATGGTTAATTTCACACCTGATGGAGCTCTTCTTGTTAGCCCCACACTCAGCAGTTTCACTCAGTAAAAAAACACATTTATAAACAAGAATTACAGCATTTTAGATGTGGGAAAAAGTTGATATTTGGATTTTGTAGTCAATTATTCAACAGTATAAATAATTTCAAATATTTTTTTTCACATAAATGCCCCTTTAAGAGAAGGCTTTGGGGCTCCTCGACGCCTCACTCGTTTTAGTACATAACAATTATAACATGGCCTTTTTTTAACTTTTTTTTTTTTAAACAAAACTTACAGCAGCAAATGCCCGCACCCACAGAGTTATCTCCCTACCATACCACTACCCCCCTCCCCCTCAGCCGCACATGTGCTGTTTACGGAGCTCACGTCTCACATGGATCGCACATTTGAACATGAGGGGGGGGGCCTTAGAATGATAGAACCAGGAAGTGCGGAGGAACGAGACTTTCTTTTGTCTGTTTCTCTGAGTAAGCAGAAGCCGGTGACAAAGACACAGAAGTTTCAGGTTAGCCTCTGCCGCTTGTTTACCTCAGCTGTCTGTGCTAACCACAGACCTGTGGCTTTTCTCAAGAAAGTGGGGGCCAGTGGTCCGCTGTGATTGGTCACAATCTGGACCCAAAACAAATTCTCTTCCTTGTTGCTCGAAAACTCGATCTAAAATAAAATGACATGCCAGCACAAATCTGCACTACTTTTTTTCAAAGGACGTTTATCCCAATGCACTGTATGGACATGGATTGAATTTTCGTAATGAATACAAAAATAAAGTCAGGTAGTCCAGCTTTAAGTGTTTTTCTCAAATTAAGGATTTCAATTTTATTTATATACATCTGAGGGATTTTATATTTTTATCTTTCTTTTTAATGTTCTGTGATTATTTATGATTTTAATGCTTATTTTGTTCTGCACTTTGAGTTGCCTTTTGTATGAATTGTGCTATTTATATAAACTTGCCTTGCCATATATCTGATTCGATTATTATCAAAACAATCCGTCTTTTGTGATTGATTCAAATGCCTGTAAATCCTTCTTCAAACACATCCCGGGGGTTTTGAACGTCTTAATTTCTCCACATAACTGTCACACATCCTGAGCTGTTGTCAGGTAATTACTGAACCAGCGATGTTGAAATATAGATAAGGTGTCGCGCTAACACCACACACGCCTCTCGAGTATTGTCTGCTTTAATGTGTTGTAATGACGTCCGATTGAGAGGCAGTTATTTAAGACACGGCGCTCGGGGGAAACCAAATTAAATGTCACAATACTCACATTCTGACAGAAGCCGTTGCATTGATAAGCAGGGACCCTTCTCGTAAAATGACCCAATAAATTAAAATGCTTTTGAATGCTCCTGCGCCAAGCTGTCCCCGGGCGATGCTTTATGATCCTAGAACAGCAGTATGTCTTTCGGCTCCTTCCCGATTCGCCGAGTCCCGCCCGACAATCATCCATCAGTCAGACATATTTGTTAGTGGATAATGAATGCTGCCGAGACACTTTCTGGTGTAGACTGTTTGTCCCCGGTTATGTATTGGTGATGTTGTGGAACGGATTTGTCTCTCAAACTCAAGATGTGGTGGCGCCGATATAAAGAACGACATAATTAACCGTGCCGTAGATTGATTGACCGCTCGCCCGAGATAATCTATAATTTTACGCACTACTCACTTCCAGTATCATATGTTACTCTGGAGAAACGGACGGCCGCGGAGAGACGACAGTATTTATTGCCAATACATATATGGACGTCCAAGCCTGGTTTATGGGTTTAATTAGTTTGATTTAAGGCGGGTGGGAGGGTTTCTAAAGCAAGGTGTGGAGCTCATTGTTTACGTTGCCTTTTTTTGTTTTTAAATTCTTTGCTTATTTTATCAGTTGTTCAACATCCTGCAAGATAGATGGATGGATACTTTATTGAGGGTTAGCAGCAAAAACACATTCATCCAAACTAGCAAAATATATTGATTATTCTAAAAAGATAGTAATGATACATTCATAGACTGTATATATTAACGGACAGAGTCACGCCTATCTTTGCCGTTCTAACTAATGGGCCAAAAAATGTGCTCTACTGGAGCTATCCAAAATGGCCGCGAGTGGTCCCGCCCACAAGAAAATTGTGAAAAAAGGCATCTGCGCATGCGTCAGCCGGCGCAGCTCCATTCATTTGAACGAGAGACTTCAAAAATTCTCCGCGAGTAAACTAGAGTGGACCAAAACACTCAGCATTGACACACATGTGGAACGGAGCTTTGGGCCAAGAGACAACTTTTGGTCCATCCTGTAAAGACGTTTTTGAGAGGTCTGCTAACACTATATGTTAGCATTGGCTAATTCTTCTTCTGGGTCCACCCCCACAGGCCCGGGGTGGTATTGCAGCATGTCAGCGCACGTCATTTTGGCCTCTTTTGAGCTGGGACCCGCCCACACTGGATACAATACAAGTCCTTCAGGTCTCAGCAGCAGAGGTGGAGCTGGGTTCAGACCATTTTCTCTGCTCTGGTCCAAAGTAAAATGCTAAATGCGTCATTGGCTATTTTTTAAAAGTTAGCATTCCTCCAGTGGATTTTCTCCTGATCCACTTGGTTCAGACCATGAATCCTCTCTGCTCTGGTCTGGACCAGTGTAAAACCATGAACACTGAACTGCAGCAACATCTCAGGCAGAGAAAGAAAGAAAGCCAAATAAAAAAGGTAGAAC